GGCTCCAAGTTAATTTAAGTTGCTTCAAAAATTTAGTTTGTTGGACTTGGATATAATGCAGAGGTAGAACATTTGCCAAGCATGGATGAGTACTTAAATCCAATCTGTGCTGTAAGCATAATAATAATAATAAATTATCCTTGTGTTCATGCTGTATCATAGAAAAGGCAAAATCTGTTAGTGATCTTGGTAGCAATTACAGATGTCCAAAACACACATTAGTCCTGGGGCTATCTCATTGTTGAAAAGCACAATACTCACCAAGTGGATTGAGTTCTAGAATGGTGAACTCATTAATGTTACCTTATTCTTTAATTGTGCATTCCAAACTAAAGAAGAATGGAAAATGCTACTTAAAATTGACAGAATCATTTCAAGAAAATCACCCTACTGGAAAGACCTGGATTTGTCTGGATGGGAGTGATTAAGGCAAAGGGAATTAACGTATTCTGCCTAATGAAGAAGCAGAATATTTTCCTATTTGTCCTAGAAGCTGGAAAGATAAGGGACCCCAGGAAAGAGGGAAGGCAAGATGAGTGAGTATTCCCCAAGGGAGTGGTGCCCTAAGCATGCTCTGTGCTGTACTGTGGTCAAGATTATTTCGTCTTGTGTTTTGAGCCTCTCCTCCACCAGGCCACTCTGAGTGCACTCTATAGCCTTCTCAGTGGTGTCCAGAAGAATAAAGTGAATTCTAGGTGACTGGTGAGTTAAGCACCCTATTCTGAAACAGTCTCAGAAACATGAGAGAAGATACAGGCTTTCTTACAATATTGTGGAACATGAGTGCATGACTTTGTATGTAAGAGTAAAACATAAACCTCAGAAGGCAGGCAGAAGTGAAGACGTGCCTGGCTGGTCTCTTCCTCCCTATGCCCCTCTAACCTCTCCACGCTTTTCGCACACTGATCTCCAAATTACAGCTGATCTGGACACTGCCACTCCCCTACTTAGAATTCTTTGAAGGCTTCCTCTCATGATTTGAATGACATTAAACCTTGTTTTGATGTACAAGATTCTTCATGGCCTGTGTGGTCTTCTTACCTCACTGCAGCAGTCCACACACCTTGCCCTCTGTCCCCGCTTTAAACTTGCCAAACTCCTCCAGAAGTTTCTCCATGAAGTTCTCAAATATGGTTCCCTTGAATTCTTCATGCCTAATCACAAAAAGCCTTTCCCTGCACATAGGACTTTTTTTTAAAGGACCTGCCTATTGATAGTTCCCATTACAGTATTGTTTATATTTCCTTAATTGCTGCTGTTATTGTGCCTCATAAATAACAATTTCAGAAACAGCAAAGACTGACTGGCTTGATTCCTTGAAACTCTGTAAAGAAATATTTGTTGAGTAGATGAATGTCTGAGCCTATTCTATAGAAGCCTTAAAAAATGTAATCTGGACCAGGTGTGGTGGTGCACTCCTTTAATCCCAGCACTCGGGAAGCAGAGGCAGGCAGATCTCTGTGAGTTCGAGGCCAGCCTGGTCTACATAGTGAGTTCCAGGACAGCTGGGGCTACAGGGAGACCCTGTCTCAAAAAGACCAAAAAAAAAAAAAAAAAAAAGTAATCTGAAATTTTAACATAATTCTGAAGGTAGAGTGATTCTACACTAGGAGAATTCACATTTGTACTTCATACTATAAGAATAAAAAATAATTTTGAAATAGTCATCATTACTAGGCATTACCTATAGTTGATGTTTTTAGATAGCTCTTTGTCTAAGTTTTACAATTATATAAATTGGTTGGTACCATTATCATTTAGACCTTTTGGCCCCAAACAAATTCAGAGAATTAATTTGAGGTCACAGAGTAAAGAAACTAACTACCTTAGCCTTTTAAGATGTCATATGAAAAGTTATCACTGGTTGAATTATGGCTTTGGCTACTGTTTCTATTGTTTCCCTTTCCAGATCAGATTTTTAAGTCAAAGACATTCTTTTCTGAAGGACACATGCTTAATCAGAATAGTAAAACCTCTTCTGATCAGTACTTCACAGAGAGAGGGGTTTGTTTCAGCCAATCTTCAGGAATCCAAACAATTCAAGGACAACAAATACAAGGAAAAATGGTTATTTATGGCAAGTGGTTTAAAAACACTAAAATATAAACAACTACTATAAATCTCTAAGGTAATCACTCTGATAGAAAAATGGGCAGAAGCCAGGCTGATCCCAGCACTCAGGAGGCAGAGGCAGGCAGATTTCTGTGAGATCAAGGCCAGCCTGGTCTACATAGTTCCAGGCAGGCTGGCACTAGGGAGACCCTGCCAAAAAAAAAGGAAAATTGGGCAGATGATAGGATTCACCAAAGAAGGTAGCAATGAAAAATTAATAAAGCAATTTTTAATCACTAGTCAGGAAAGAGAAAACTAAAGAAAATGTGATTTTCTTTTTTAAAAAATAATTTTTTTTAATATTTTTTATTTTATATGTATGTGTGTATTGCCTGTGTGTAGGTAAGTGCACCCATGTTGTGCAATGAGGACAGAAGAGGCTGTCGGATCCTCTGGAACTGGAGCTATGGACAGTTGTTAGCTGCCATGTGGGTGCTGGGACTCGAACCTGGTCTTCTGCAAGAACAACCAGTGTTCTTAACAGCTGAGCTGTCTCTCCAGCCCCCAAAATGTGATTTTCCATCAAATGATAAAATATTCAATGCCCAGTATATACATATAAGCCTATATGTATATGATAATATGTGTGAGGGAGTAGTTTGGTACTAGATGAATTCAGAAGTGTTCATGCTGGTATTACTTCTAGGAATTGAATGGAAATGAAAGTGATGGAAGACTCATACCCAACCAGTGAATCTGTACAGAAAGAAAGTTCATATAAAACATGAGTATAATGACGTCTTGGTGCTATCAGCAACACAGGTCCTGGAGCCAGATAGCCAGATCAAAGTCACTGACTGCAGGGTTGGGTGGGTCTCACCCTCTGTCTCATTTTTCTTATATGCTTTGTCATTGGCATCCTTGACTGGTTGTGACTTTGCACTTTTTGCTTCCAGCAGAGCTCAAAGAGGGCAGTGGTCTTCAACACCTAATAAGAATTTTAATCTTGCTACTCTTAAAACTGTGTGTTTATCACATTAGCAAGGACCCCTCTTCTTCCATCCCCTGCCCAGTCCTAAGCAATCACTGATCGACTTTCCATACACACTTACCTCTTCTTACTGCTCAGTTTAAATCAAATTATACAAGAGATGCTCTTGTGGAACTGGTGTCTTCTGCTTGGCACAATGTTCACCACGTCTATGTCTATCTACATTGTAGCATTTATCTTTGCCTTTTTATTATTGAAGTTTTCACTGTATTGATACACTACATTTTCTTTGCCAGCTCATCAGTTGATATACATTTGAGTTGAGTACACCTTTAGTTTTAAATAAACTATCATTTCTTGACCTTTCAGCTAAGATCAAGTATGTTATAAATAAAACTGTAATGAACATTTTGTTCAAAAAAATGTGTGTTTACATAGTGTTTACAAAGGGTATGTACACACAGTATTAATGGAGTGGGTCTCTGGGCAGGGGAATAATGGGCCTTTACTTTTCTTCTTTACACTTTATTATCTATATTTTCTATATTAAAGATAAATACTTGTAATAATAACATTTTTTAGAAGTAATTCAGGTACTTACGCAGGTCCATAGTTGCATATAAAATGTGCTCCATCTCTAGGACAAAATTGCACTGCACAGCCAACCTTGTAACTATCTGCCCAAACAAGGGGAATAATGGGCCTTTACTTTTCTTCTTTACACTTTATTATCTATATTTTCTATATTAAAGATAAATACTTGTAATAATAACATTTTTTAGAAGTAATTCAGGTACTTACGCAGGTCCATAGTTGCATATAAAATGTGCTCCATCTCTAGGACAAAATTGCACTGCACAGCCAACCTTGTAACTATCTGCCCAAACAACCTGGAAGTACAAGAAGATTTTTTAACATCGCAATAACAAAATGAACATTTGATTATGATTAAGCCTTCATAATTATTGTAAAAAATATCCATCCTTGTTGGTTGAACACTTACTAGGGAAATTTTAGGTGCTCAAAACTGAACTGGAAACAAGTCTATGATTACTATTTCAGTACGTGAGTGCACTGGTCTGTTTGTAAAATAAACATGTAAACCATAAGGTGATTTTCAAACAGTACTACTACAGTACAAGTACTATTTTCAAACAATAAAGCAACTTGACAAGAGGGCCTGATGGGGAGAAGGAAGACATCTCTGAAGGAACCTTTGAAACGAGTAATTGAAGATTCTGCAGCACTGAGGATAAACATCAGGGGACCTCAACAATGGACAAAGTGTTTCCAGCAGTCCTCTCAGAACAAAGGCCCAGAGGTGGAATTTGCTTGGCATATAGGGTGGCAGAAAAGGTGGCCAAGGGGACCCAGGATCTACGGGGGACAATCACAGAGGATGAGCTCAAAGTCAGAGGACAGATCCATCATGGAAGTTCTGGTAGGTACCGGGCTGCTGTTTCACAAGTCTTAGCAAGATTCATTTGGTGCATATGAAGTAGAGACTGAGCAGATCCTAAGAAGAAGTAATTGGAGGCTATTTCAGCAGTATAAGGATGAACACATAGTGCGTCACTCGTGGGTGGTGAAGCTCCTGGTTTCAAGTTAATGACTCAGAAATATAGCTGAAGGAATTCACTTTTGTTCTGAGTGTGGGGCAAGTATTTTGGTTTGAGATCTAAGCAACATTTACTGAAATAGATAAAACTAGTGGACAAGCAGTTGAACAGGAGCATGGGCAAAGTGTTCTGTTCAGAACACGTTAATTTTGGACTTCCTATTAGATAAACCGGTAAAGACTGACACATAGCTGCTGGATTTAATATCTGCAGTTCAGAGGACAGGGTAAAGTCAGAAGTAGGAATCTAGAAGACACGAGATTAAATGAGGTCACAGAGGCAAAGATAATAGATAAAGAGGTAAATGAGAACCTGGGAAGAAAACCATACAGTAGTACCAAAGCGCTTGGTAATGTGGAGGGAAACTGGCTCCCTGGGAAGGTGGCTGTGCTGCAACACTGGCCCAGTGCTCAGAGGAGCTCTGGGTTTAGTTTAAACCATGCTGCTGATAGCACCTTCAGTGCTACCTCCTCCTCCTTCAGTGAAGGATTCCAGCTTTTCATTTTTCACTAATCCCTGCAAGTTATGCGGCATATCTTGACCAAGAGTGTTTAATGTCATAGAATGCTAAAGAAACATTTCAGAAAGTAGCTTGTTCTTGCAGACAAACCAGCCATCAAACAACTTCTTATTTACAGTAATACAAAAGTATACTTTAAAATTATTTTTACAGTAATTTTTGAGCCATTTTGTGACAAGCACTGTGCTAAATATGTGAGTACAATGGTGAATGAGCCTGCAGGCCCCAAAATGTAGACAAAAGCGATCATGAAGTCATTTCAGAGTTTTGAGGACCATCAGTGGTTTTAAGACATGATGTGGGACGTTTCTCTGGAGCCTGAGCTGCAGCTCTGCTGAGGACCACACACATGCATCTGCCTTCCAGCATGGAGCAATTTCTAAAGCTGAGTTTAGTTGGATATGGTACCTGACACCTGTGTTTCCAGCACTTTGGAAATAGAAGTATTGTGAGTTCAAGACCTTCCTGAGCTACACAGTGAGATCAAGATCGTCCTGGGCCATGAGTGAGATTAAATTAAAGTTGAAATTACTAAAGTATAATTAACATAATGGTAAAACTGTTCTTTGTAGTGTACACTTTTCTGAATTTAGGCAGAAGCATACAGTTCTATAACTACTATAATATTTTCAGTTAGTGTCTCAGTGTGTCACCCTCGCTGGCCTGGAACTTGCTTTGTAGACCAGGCTGGCCTTGAACTCAGAGACTCTGCTTCCTGGGTGCTGGGATTAAAGGCATGGGTCATCATGCCTGGATACCTGTCCTATTTTAGTCACACTGTTCCCCAAGTTTTGCAAAAACTGAACTTTCAGCAACAAAAATATATAATCTGTTAAATCATTCATATTATTATACTGAAATTATTCTTAAATGTCAGTCTATCTCCAGTGACCTTAAAGTATTGGTAAATAGAATATTAATAAATAAAAATATACCAGTAACAAGAAGATAGCTCTGAATTTATTATATTTGCTCTGCACAGCCACCTATCAATGGCCAGCATGTACAAACAAATTGATTTTCAATAGGAGATGAGTGTAAGAGGGGGCTTAGAATCCCTGCTTTAGGTAACTTTCCACCATGAATTTGAAATAGTAACAGTATTCTTGAATCCCCAGCAAGGTTTCTTCTAAGGATGAAACAGGAGTCTTTAGCCAAACTGTATCAGATCCTTCTTCCAACATGACTGTTGAGACAGTAGATCATGGGCTCTGATCTTTGCTAACTGCTAACCCAAAAGTGTTGGTCCAGATTCCAATACAGCAGAGTCTGAGATATTACTTTATGTTCTAACTTAAGGTACAGCCTCAGAAGTGGGAGTAAGGAGGAGTAAAGCTAGTTTAGGGTTTCACACAGCAAGAGATATGTGGGTTGGTTCTTCAAACAGAGTGAAAGTTTGTCAAAGAGAAAGGAAAAGAAAGAGACGAGGCAAAATTAACCAGGTGTAGAAGGTATACAATATATATGAGCGAGCCTGGTACCATAACTGAATTTTAAGTAAATGTGTAGCTTTTGGAAGAGTTTAATTTACTACAGGCTTGTTTGCCCATGCTTGTATATACAAGTTAAGACATTTCATATCCCTTATCCCAGGGAGCCATAACAAGAAGGGTAAACTGAAGTTTATGTCATATAGGCCTAAGACTTCGGAGACTTCCTTAAATTATCTGAGATTATTTGTAAATTCTTCACTACATCAGGAAGAAAAGGAGGGCTAACATTTTGGACACATGAAAATTAATTTTCAAAATCTAGTCTTTTCCATAGAGATCAGAGACAAACTAGTGTTCTTAATGTCTTCAGGAGACCAATACATTCTACCTTCCCTTTAGAAGAGGGGGCCTCATCATGGGAGACTGTCCAAAAATTCCTGGGTCTAGGAGAATATAGCTATGACAACCACTCTGTAAGTGAGCATGAGGTCTAGCTTTATAAGTTGAAAGCCTCATTCAGTTCCTAGCACAAACCTGTAAGGGAGGTGCTGTTATCTGTAGACCAGCAAATGGAGTCAGAAAAATTCAGATGTTTCCCCATTGCTATTTAGCTAAGAAGAGGAGAGTTCAGATTCACTTATTAGATATGTTGCAAGGCTTTAAATAATATAATATATGCAAGTTATCAAATGAACTATTAGCATCTAGTATTGCCAAGGCTAATGACCCTCACATATTAATTATGTCCATATAACCCAACATTTCCAATCACCATTTCTGGTAATATTGGAGCCTTTTATTTTTATTTTTTTTAATTAAAGTTCTCTCATATTTATAATCATACTAGCTTACTATATATTTTCTTAGCAGCAAGTTCCAGTTTTATCTTTACCTTTAAAAAGATGGTTTCAAGAAAATATAGGGGTGGGACTGGAGAGATGGCTCAGTGGTTAAGAGCACTGCCTGCTCTTACAGAGGACCTGAGTTTGATTCCCATCACCCACATAGCTTCTAACAACTGTCCTTAACTCCAGTTCCAGGGGATCAGAGGCCCTCTTCTGACCCCCATGGGCATTGCACGATAAGGGTACATCTACCTACATGTGTGCAAGCAATACACTCATATACATAAAATAAAAATAATAAAATACTGAAAAGAAAATACAGGAGCATACTTACCTGAGTGTAGTGGCCACAGACCTTTTTGCATTTCCTGGTGTTGAAGTCATAGTCCTTGATTTCATCGTACCATTGGAAGATGGCTGAAGACACTGAGAAGAGGATTAAAGGTCCGTTCCAGATATTTTCTCCCACTGCAGTGAAGTTTGGGTGCAGCCTTGACTTCAGCTGTGGGTTGTGTTTAAACTGACAAACTTTTGCCCATGCTTTTGCGATTTTGGCTAGTGCTGGATCCCAAGACTGCAAAATAATAAGCAACACAGAAGTCAAGAATGAAATCTGTTATTAAAAAATGTGAGGTTGGCTCACAGTGGAGAGATGGCTCAGCGGTTAAGAGCACTGACTGCTGTTGCAGAGGACTGGGTTCAGTTCCCAGCACCCACATGGCAGCTATGAACCGTCCTTAACTCCAATTCCAGGGGAATCCGAAGCCCTCTTCTGACCTCCGCTGCATTGCATGACACGGGTGCACTCACACACATGCAGGCAATACACTCAATACACATAAAATAAAAATAATAAATAAAATACTTTTTTGAAAATGTGAGGCTGTTACCCTGCTAACTCATATCTGTAGACACACTAGTTTACTCTTTAGCACCAGGCTCGTTCTCCCTGTAGCAGGAATTTAAATGATGAATGAGGTGTGATGGGGAGAATAGAGAGGAAGCACTGCCTACAGTTCCCCTGTGCTAGTCTCCAGCTGCTAACCAGGGCTGAGAGAAAGTACAAAATCATCAGGTGAAAGCAAAAGAAATCAAATGGGTATGACTAGGAGCGGGAGAAGTGGCAGCATCCTTGTCTGCAGATGACATGATCTTCTGACTGGAAATCCTTAGACGGTAAGTTCAATGAAGTAGCAGGATGCAAAATCAACATACAAAAATACTGTAACTTTTGTATGAAGTAGTCATGAAAAAGAAATCTGAAAAATAGTTCCATTCTAATATCCCCCCAATAAAATATGTAGGAATAAACCTTACCAAGGAGATGAAAGACCTCTACAGTGAAACACTGAAGAAAGATAAGATGACACTAGAAGATGGAAAGACTGCTCATGCACATGGATTTGGATAATAGACATTTTTTATTTAATATTTATTTTATGCATTTATTTTTATTATATGTGTATGAGTGTATTGCCTGCATGTATGTAAGTGCATCCATGTCATGCAGTGCCCTCAGAGGTCTGAAGAGGCCATCAGATCTCCTGGAACTAGAGTTATGGATGGTGGTGAGCTGCCATGTGGGTGCTGGGAATTGAACCTGGGTCCTCTGCAAGAGCAGCCAGTGCTCTTAACTACTAAGCCATTTCTCCAGTGCCCGGATAATTGATATTTTTAAATGATAGTTATCATTGCAGGAGGTTCATTACAGTCCCCATGAGAACACTAAGGCTTTATTCACAAGCTTTCTAAAATTCACAAAGAAACACAAAATATATGACCAAAGGAATTCTAAGCAAAAAAAAAAAAAAAAAAAAAACAAAACAAAAGACATTGCAAACCTACTTCAAAATATGCTAGATGTGGGGCATGGTGGTACATGCCTTTAATCCTTGCATGGGAGGCAGAGGCAGGTGAATGTCTGTGAGAAGGAGGCCAGCCTGTTCTACATAGAGAGTTCTAGACTATCTGGGCTACAGGGAGACCCTGTTTCAAAAAAAAAAAAAAGTCAATTAATTAAATATAATAAAAATAAAGCAAACGCAAAGAGAAGGAAATATCAGAATGAAGTGACGGCCTGAAGAAAAGGAGAAATATTTTCCCAGCCGTCCATCCACCAAGGAATTCATATTAAAAATGTATTTAAAACAGATAAAAATATATATTTAAAAGTATTAACACCAAAAGAATGAAAAATTCAAACCCACAAATTGACAACTGAACGGAACAGAATTCTCAGAAGTCCAGCTCAGCATCTTTAGCCATTAGAGAAACGTAAACAAAAACTACACCAAGATTCCATCTCACCCTAGTCAAAACAATATCAAGAGCACAAATTCTGTTAAGGATGTTAAGTGGAAAAGAAGGCCTTGAACATTGATGTTGGGAATGTGAATTAGTCCAGTCACTATGGAAATCAGTATACAGTTCCTCAGAAAACTAAATCTGAGGCTTGCTATGTGATTCGGATACATCATTCTTGTGCATATACTCACAGGAGTAAAATTCAGCATACTTTAGGAATATCTACACAACCATGTTTTGTGGCACTAGTCATAATAGCCAAGCTATGAATTGCATGTAAGTGTCTATAGATAGATGAAGGAATAAGAAAAACATGTATGTGTATGTCTGCTCATGACTGGAGGTGAAGGAAGTGCTCAGAGAAAAACATGCTTTGAGTTTGCTAAGGCAGACTGCAATAAAGGGCTGTACCCAGTAGGTTTTGAGTACAGATTGTGAATTTACTGCACACAGTTACAAGCAAAAAAAAAAAAAAAAATCATTCAGGATTACCCAGAATTTTTGACTACATATGCTACAAATACTGATAGTTTACTCACCATGTGTAGCATTTTCCTGGCTGTTGGATTCACTTTTGAGCGAAACTTGTTATGAATTTGAACACACTCTTTGATGAAATCTTCATTTTCGATATCTGGCAAAGTGCTTGCTGTATATCGAGAAGTGGAGACTGCAGAAGCCATCCAGACCATGGAAGCAAGGACCAGCTGCATGTTCCCTCAGGCTGGTCTGGACCTAGAATCCAGAGTCTCGGGTTTCTGATAGTGTGCTCAATTCTCTCCAGTTTTTAGCTGTTTTTTTCTCCCCCATGCTAGGGGTTGAACCCAGGGTCCTGTCTGTGCTAGGCAAGTGCTCTGCCACTAAGCTACTATCCATCCCCCTCTGTCTTTACAGGCAGCTTTACAAAACATAAGACTTCAGTTTTGAGAAGTCTGAAAGCAGAACATGAAGTCATCACAAGTTTTAAGAAATGGATTTCTCCATATATGGCTCGCAGCTCATTCTGTCCTCTTAACCCTGTCTTTTCAGTTCTCAGTGACACAGCACCTATTGCATTACCAGGTCATACCAGTCTTTGAACAGGGGGGTATTTCCAAAGGAAATTCTTAAGTCTTCAGAAATAAGTCTCCACCTAAAGCACCCAAAGACTTGCAAAATGGTTTTTTTTTTTTTTTAATTTTTAAAACCTTTGGTTTTTTGTTGTTGTTGTTGTTGATGTTATAAAAACACATCATCCAACAGTGTGGATACAATTATCTACCCTCCTTATCAGTAGATGTTTCAATCTCCCTGAATCTCTCTTTATCAGTGGATCAGTGGCTGTCTGAATGAATAGATAGCACTGAGCCTTGTGTGTGTGGGTTTTTTTTGTGTGTGTATGTGTTTTTGAGACAGGGTCTCCCTGTAACCCCAGCTGTCCTGGAACTCACTATGTAGACCAGGCTGGCCTTGAACTCACAGAGATCCACCTGCCTCTGCCTCCCGAGTGCTGGGATCAAAGGCGTGCGCCACCAGGCCTGGCTATATTTTTTTTTCCTGTACAGACACAGTGGTAAAATGAATTTATAACTTAGGCACAGTAAGAGATTATAGCAGTAATAATAATAAGCTAGAACAATCATAACAATATTTACTAATAAACTTGCCAGAATCACTACCATTATGCATTGAGGCCCAAGTAAAGTAAGGGTTTCTGGAACACAGGCAGTAATACCAAAAGTTTATCTGATAACTCAGGCACTTATTATGTGACTAATGATTAATGACTAATACAACTGCATGCGTGTATAGCAGACAAAGTTTGGGTTACTTCCTGAGGCAGACCGAGTTAAAATGGTGCAAGATTTCACAATGTTTTTCAGAACAATATGCAACTTCAAACTTAGGAACTATTGAATTCTAGAATTTTTTATTTAATATCATTGAACAGTTGTTGACAATGAGTAACTGAAACACCAGAAAGTAAAAGTGTAGCTAAGAGGGGGCTGTTATGGCTGACTGACATTCTAATTTGACCTAGAATTCAAAGGTGGACCATATGTACACAGGCATGCTTGGGGAAGGAGAAGGAAAGGAGGGAGGGAGAAAGGGAGGGAGGGAGAGGAGAAAGGGGAGTGAGAGGGAGGGTAATTTAACTCCTCAGAGCCAGCCCCAGCTTCTCCATTTACCTTACACTTCTGCAGCAAAAAACCCAGAGGTGGTTTGCCACAGAACAACAGATATGCAAGCCTCCACTTTTAGGAAGGCTTATAGTGTCCCAGGAGTTTCCCCATTGCTTACCTTTGGTCTTTACTGCCACGTTCTTGATAAACATGCGTATGTGTTAAGAAAGAACTTGTTTTCAGTGATTTTTGCTAAGTGGGTGGCATTTTAGCAAATTCATTTTAAAACCATCTTTTTACTGATTTTTTGTACTAATTTTTTAAGGTAGAGATATACTGCCTTTTGTGATAAACACTTTGTTTTGGAAAGTCATGCACAAATTAACACATTACACCGTAGATAAACCTGTACATAGATAAAAGAAAGATCAGAATTTCCCTGCATTATATGTGATTATCACTGCACGATTGGGTAACTCTGTATAGCTGTGTATTTTACTAAAGTTCCTTATAAAAAGTGACATTTTGTTGTAGTGATAATTACATATATGGCATAAAACCTCATCCTTACTATTCTATCCCAGACATGTCTATTTAGATATACCATGGACTCTTTTTTTAATTTCTGGAGGAGAAATGACATAGGATCCTCTATAATTTCATCCTTCTTATTAGAGACTGTATTTGGGCTTCCAAAACCTCTAGGACCTCTTCTCTTTGGAGTGTGGGTGGGTATTTGAGATGGACAAAGATAAGGAGTCCAGAAGATCCAGGAAGGCAGAGGAACTCTAGTTTGTGTCAACTATGGAGGTTTTATTTGTGTTATTTTACTTGGTATAAGCCAGTTTTATATATGCCACTACGCATGAGCTAATTCTGACCCATATCCTATAACCAGTTACACGGACCTATACTCTAATCAGAAATTCACACGCCAAAAGCAGTCCTAGGACTTTAGATAAGGCTATGGAAATTGACATTGAAGAATATGTTCATTAGAACAGGATGTTTAGAGGGCAATATTCACTGGCAAAATAAATAATATTCAAGATGATGTCTTGTAGGAAGATTGAATACATTTTCCTGCCATTGCCTGAAGGAGGTAATTAAAAGTAGCCAAGCACAGATCTCTAATACCACCAGTCAAATGTTCCAGGAAGTGCCACCTCACAAGAGGCCTCTATCCCCTGGCCTGGCTTCTGGGCTAGCTGGTCCTAAGTTTAGAACATCTGTCAGGGAGATTTTTATAAAGCTTATGGTCGGAATGCTTAAGGGCAGAGTGTAGGGCCATGCTTGTAACTGTCTGCAAATGAGTACTAAGACATTTAACAGAATTTCTCCAAACCTACTTTTATAGTAGCATACCTTGAGGCAGAAAAAACAGTGTTTGCTTAACTTAGCTCCACCTGTCTGAGGCTCCCAATACTCATCAAAAGAACCTGATGTTTACAGCTGGGTGTGGTGGCACATGCCACTTGGGAGGCAGAGGCAGGTGGATCTTTGTGAGTTCAAGGCCAGCCTGGTCTACATAGTGAGTTCCAGGACAGCTGGGGCTACAAGGAGACCTTGTCTCAAAAAGACAAAAAAGAAAAAAAAGAACCTGATGTTTGACAGCATGGTAGCTTAGACCAGTCAACAGCAGTGATGGCAAGCACAGAGCCAGGCCTATCAAAGTCACCATCTCACAGGGCTGACACTAAACCTCGTCTGTCCCTCACAAACTTCTCTACATCTCTGTGCCTACATGTGTGGGAATGACTTTTCTAGAAATGCCTCCTGCCTTACTGTTGTAACCAAAGTTACTCTTGTGTTCACATGTTGCATACATGTATATATTGCAAACAATATGTGGGTTTAGATTAAGAATATCTGTGGTTTTGTATGCTGTTGTGGGTCAGTAAGGGTCAGAAAAGGCAAGTTCTTCCCGGATGAAACAAAGATCCTCATTTCTTTTCTGTATCATGCTGGATGCACTATTTAGATACATTAAAAAAAAAAAAGTCTGCCCTTTGTTGGAGGAACCATTCTGAGAGAACTCAGAGGGAACAGTTCATTTCTGGTTTAAACAACTCCAGGACTTTATTTATTTTGGCTGGCACCAGCACAGTATGGCATCCACCACATACATATATAAATAGTATTCTCATTTACAGATGAAAATGCTGAGAGAAAGGACGTTCAGTAACTAGACCAATACCATTAGCAAGCTGCTGACAAAGAGTCTGATTGCAAATGGTTCTTTGTGACTGTAGAAAAGTGTGGTTGCTGACATTTATTATATAACAGCATCAACAGTGATGGTTTGCTTATCAGCCATATCTGGTTACTGCTCTAGGAGGCTTAACCTAGAGACCATTTCCCCAGCCCCTTGGACATTCTATTAGCTACCTACAGCAGTGGGAAGCAGAGAAGGCAGAAGGGTCAGCTTGGTGGGGTAAAATACCTAGGTTTGTCACCAGTGGCCTACCTCCTCCAACAAAGCCCCACTATCTCCCACTAATGCCATCATGCTATGAATTCATCATGAGACCAGTTAAATGATCAGTCCAATGTCCAAAGATCTAGCACCTTTCCCAAAGCCCGTCAGCTGGCAGCCACAGCCTCAATGCATGAGCCTGTGAGAGACATTTCTTTTTCAAGTCATAAAACAATGCTAGGATGATAACTGAATATCATCTATAGCTAAGCACTCAAACATTGCTACACTTACTGTAAATATTTTCTGAAACTGTCCATAGCAACGATATGTTTCAGATATGTTTCAGATATTTAATAAAGGTTCACATCCTCTTGGTGCACTTCTTAGTTTGATTAGAATGCTTTGAAGCTGAAATATGAGTTGCTTGGTTTCACACAAACACGTACCGGCAGCTTCCTCTTTTTCTGTAGAGAGAGTTCTGGCTGCATACTCTGTCAAGTTTCTTCAGTGAATCTACTGGGGCGACCCCAGAAAAGGAATCATATGTTCAGAACATCTGTCAAGGATGTTCTGAACATATGTTCAGCAGTTACATTACCAGATTCCCAGTAGCTTAGAAGACCTTTATACAAACTAAAAATTGTGTACAGGAAAATTAGCTCTCCTGTGGAGAGAGGCTGAGACCTGCTGTGGAGTTACCATGGTAACATTAACTTCCTCTTCTACTCTTAAACCCTTCAGCCACAGTATTATGTCTTTTTCTTCCACTTTTTGGCTTCCATCCTGCCTAGGGAAGACCACTAGGTGCACAGCAGAATATTCTACTCAGTCAAAGAGGGCAGCTATCTTTTGCCTGTTTGTCATAACCTGTGACCTCAGCCATTTCTTTTTTCATGATATGTACTTCCTTATGACTGTGGAATTATATAGGTACATTAAAAATTTTTTAGTAATTTAATTTTACTTTATTTTTTTGAGGCAGGGTCTCATGTAGCCACGACTGCTTTCAGACCTTACTATGTAGCCAAGAATAACGTTGAGCTCTTGATCCTCTTGCCTCTACCTCCCAAGTGCTGGATTACAACACATCTACTAACATGCCTGGCCATAGGTCCATTTTTCATGAGGAATTTGAGGACCAGACTATAACTTGCTCATAGTCACACAGTAAATGAAATAAGTAAAGCAAACCCATGTTGCCTCTTTTCATTATAACAATGGCTTTCAGACTGTGATATCAATATAGTAAATGATTGGTGATTTTAGTTGGTCTTCCCAATGTTTCTAGGGTATGATCATGGCCAGAGAACTAAAATTGTATACCATGGTATATAATTCTTTTTGCTCTGATGACTTCCTCTCCCTGGCAAAGAGCTTAGGCTGAACACATTTGTGTATTCTTATTTTTTGTGTCTGGGGATGTTGGCATGCAAATTCCCTCTGCTTCTCACTACTGCTTCTAGACCAC